TTTCTTAGAATACACACACGAGAGGCCAGACAGAGCCTCAGTTTATTCCTCTTCTCGACAATACAGCATTGCCTTTCTGTAGCACAAGCAGCTTCAGCCTAAATTGTACAGCCAAGTCTCTGGAATGGGATTCGAACACATGGTCAGCTTACTCAAAGCAAAGCAATAAGGAGTCAGGGCATATGCATCCAGAACATGGTCATATAATCTAACAGAACTGTACCCTGGGGCTTAGGAAAAAGATCTTACATCTGAAAGCCTCACTGAGATTCCAGTTTAATCTAAAGTAACAGTTTTATAAACCATTATGGAGGTTGTTTTGATCTTCCTCCATTTCCCACCAACCCATAAAGTTCTCAAGATTGTTTAGTAAACAACTAGACAACTGAACACGCGAGTGATCCTTAACGGTACAACTGAAACATTCTTCATTCATCTGAAGAATAATGCATCTGACACACAGCAGCATGCTTTAATTTTTCTTTCCAAGAACAAATTTAATGAAAATAGAAAAGTCTGGAAATATTCAGAAGATCCATCAACATCTAGAGTGGTCAAATGTAAGAACCACTGGTAAAGGATCCACAATTACCAGACACTGTCCCAAGTTGACTTCCAGCAGCAATAAAAACAGAAGTTGCTGGAAAAGCTCAGCAGATCCGGCAGGATCTGTGAAGAGAAATCCGAGTTAACGTTTCATGTCCGGCGACCCTTCCTCAGAAACGTTAACTCTGATTTCTCTTCACAGATACTGCCAGATCTGCTGAGCTTTTCCAGAAACTTCTGTTTTTGTTTCTGTTTACAGCATCCGCAGTTCTTTCAGTTTATATTTTCTATTTCCAGCAGGTTTGTATTATTGTTTCAGATTTCTAGTGTCCACTGCTACCCGTCTTTCCTCCTTAATCTTTAAAATTAGGTACCATTACCTCAAAGAAAAGGTGCTATTGGATGCTCACCAGATTCATCACCAATTGTAGTACAAACACCCTTAATGTAAAGAGGCTGTTTCCACTTGCAAGAGAGCCTAGGACCAGAGGGCATTATCGCAAAGTACAGTCACCCATTCAATAAAGAGACGAGGATTTCTTTTCTCTCAGTCTGGAGAGAGATACAGTGGTTTTTGTCAAGGTTCATCCTGAGCAACTCCACGACACAGGATTCTATGCTCTATGGTCGGTTCCCAAGGATGTACACTGAGACAAACATCAACTGCACCTGGAGGACCATCAACACAGTGAAAGACACTCTTTGATCTGCCCGCAACGTCTTGCTCTGGAACACCAATAAATTGACCCTGACCGAGTGGAGCAGACTGGCACATTCCAAAGTCTAGGACTACGTACTGAGGGATGAACTAAAGCTTGGGACAGTGGGAAAGACCACTGTCTCAGATCCTTCTGCTGAAGTTAAATTGGGGTCTGCTCAGTAATCAGACCCTCCCAGTGCCTCAAATGCACGTAAATATAGTCTGGTTCAAGTAAGAGAAGCCTTTCGTTTGTTTGGATAGTTCCTTGATATGCTACTGTACAGAACTGAACTGTGTTTATGACTATGTATATAGATATTTTTATGAATAAAGTACAGCATTGTATACCTGTTGAGTTAATTACTACAAAGGGTTGTATCTGTGGAATTCATTTCTACAAAGGGCTGTAGAGGGTGGGTCATTAAGTGTATTCAAGCCTGAAACAAACAGCTTTTTAATTATTAGGGGAATCGATGGCTCTAGCAAAAGGCCAGAAAGTGGAGCTGAGAATTATCATATCTTATTGAACAGAGCACTAGACACAATGAGCTGAATGGCCTATGCCTGCTCCTACATTTTATGATTTTAAGTTTTGCCAGCAATCACATCGCAGGAAACAAAAAATGCTCATCAGCTTACTGCAGCAGGCACAACAGGCTAAATGGTCTCCTTTTGCACCATAACAATTCTGTAATGCTATGAACTGGACCTCATACAGATCCTTCCAAACTGGATACAACCCACCAATTGTAGCATCTGTCTATAAAGGACATTTGGAAGTGGAATAAAATGACACGGAGTTCTCTCTCTCTTTAGACAGTTAGCACATGTAGAGAATATAAGCCCAAATCTAATCAATAACTGGAAGAAACTGTACTGACGCAACAGTGGAACAGCAAGAGAGTGATAATGTCACTTGCCCAGTAATTCAGAGGTCCAAACAAAACCAAAAAGTTGCTGGAAAAGCTCAGCAGGTCTGGCAGCACGTGTGGAAAGAAATCAGAGATCATGTTTCAGGTCAAGAGACCCCCCCTCAGAACTCAACCGTCCTGAGGAAGGGATAATACAGTGTGGAGCTGGAGGAACACAGCAGGCCAAGCTGCATCAGAGGAGCAGAAAATTTGACGTTTCGGGTTGGGACGTTTCTGAAGAACAACTTTCCTGCTCCTCTGATGCTGCCTGGCCTGCTGTGTTCCTCCAGCTCTACACTTATCTCTGACTCCAGCATCTGCAGTTCTTACTACGTTCTTACTAGGAAGGGTCACTTGACCCAAAATATTAACTCTGATTTCTCTCCACACATGTTGCTAGACCTGCTGAGCTTTTCCAGCAATTTCTGCTTTGTTTCTGATTTACAGCACCCACAATTTTTTTGGTTTTTAATTCAGAGGCCCAGAATGATGCTCAAGGGGGGTAGGAGTTAAAATCCCATGACAGCAGCCATTGCAATTTACATTTAATTAATAAAATCAAATTGAAAATAAGACTTAATAACAGTGACCATGAAACTACAATTTTATTGAGGAAAAGAAACCTGCTATTTTGGCTCACATAATTCCAGACCTACAGCAATGTATAACTGCCTTCTGAAATAGCCCAGCTATTGTATCAAGCTGCTACAAAAAGCCACCTAACAGCAATGTGGGCATACCTGTACCAGAGGTTCTGCCACAGTTGAAAATGACAGCTATTTTCTCAACAAATACCAGTAGTACCCACATCCCAAGAAAGAAAAAAAAGGATGACGTGGTGTCACAAATCCACAATCGCAGAATTCAAAGATGACCCGACTTGAAAATTGATTTTCAAAAATGAAAAACTTCAGTCAACCTTTTGCCAAAGATCTTTAGACAGCAACTTACAAACCCACAACTACTTCTATCTGGAAGGAAAAGGGCAGCAAATACACGGAAACACCACTCCTGCAAGTTCCCCTCCAAACTACCCACCATCCTGACATGGAAATATATCACAGCTCCCTCAGTGTCACTTGTTCAAAATCTTGGAATTCCCTCCCTAGCGGCATTATGAGTCAACCTACAGCACATGGACTGCAGCAGTTCAAGAAGGCAGCTCACCACCACCTTCTCAAGGGGCAACTAGGGATGGTCAATAAATGCTGGCCAAGCCAGTGATGCCTACATTCCATGAGTGAATAAGAAACACATGTAAACTAAAAGAGCAAAATCAGCTGCATGTAGAGATAGTGAAATTGGACCTGGGGATGCACTTTTAAAACATGGCTCACCCATTTAAGACAGACATGGGACAGATTTTTTTCCCCACTCAAATTGTTTTTGGAACCCTCTTTCCCAAGCAGTAGTGGAAGTGGGGTCATTGAATATTTTTAAGACAGAGGCAGATAGATCCTCGACTAAAAACGCAGTCGGAGGTTATTGAGGGTAGGTGAGAATGTGGAGTTGAGGCCACAACCCAATCAGCCATGATCTTAGTGAATGGCAAGTCAGGTTGATGGGCTGAAAGGCCTACTCCCAACCCAGTGTTCACACAGCTTACAGAAAATATTAGAAAGTGGAATGAGAGCAAATGTAGTAAACAGAACACACAAAATAGTACCATAAATTATATTTTCTTTAAACTATTTTAGTGCCTCAGCATAAGCATAGATGTACAGAAAATATCTCAGAGTGAATACAGAGATGCACCTAGTATTCAGTTACTTTCTACAGAGAACATATCTGGGAATGATGCTGAGGCAAACATATTATGAAACCAAGACTAATGGACACCTGGGAGTGATCATAAGACTGAAGTGTCATCTTGAAAGGGTCAGAGATAACATTCAAAAAACAAGTCTCCACCTAAAATGTTGTTGTTAACAACCCTCATTACAGGAATGGCAGGTTATATTGAATTCACATTGAGTCTACACTTTCAGGGTATAGAAGAAAGCCTTTACAGGAGCCTGGGCGTGGTATTTTGTGTCAGAAGCAAATGGAATCAGTGCTTAACTACTTAAAAAGTTATTTCAGTTAATACTACAGTTAAAGTCTAAAAATCAAAACACCAATAA